GTGTATGTGTGTGTGTGTGTGTGTGTATGTGTGTATGTGCATGCATGCGTGCGTGAGCGTGTGTGTATACGTGTGTGTGTGTGTGTGTGTGTGTGTGTGTGTGTGTGTGTGTGTGTGTGCGTGAGCGTGTGTGTATACGTGTGTGTGTGTGCGTGTGTGAAAGAGATAGAAAGAGTGTGTTGTTCGAATACGAGTGAAGCATTGTGGACCTTTGGTTGTTTGGAGGGTCTTCTAGGACCTCAGTCCACTTTGCTTGTTTAGAGCGGAGATGGAGTTAACAACTGTCGTATGTGGTGTAGCGGTTAGATGGTTTGCCGTTGCACGCAGAAGACCTATGTTCTCGGTCCTTCTTTTAGGATATTTTATCCTTCTCAGCCCGAGTTGTCCCTGAGAGGCAGGATGGAAGCCTGCAACCTTCGATCAGAGAGTAACTCTGCTTTGATCTTATTGTGTCCTTGAGGGAGCTAAAACAGTTACATGTCCATTAAAAAGAAAAATGACAAAACTGTCGGAGGACCGTTAAACCCAACAGCTGACTTCTATCGTTCTTGTTTGACAAGTTTCTGTTCCTTAACTATTGCATGATCTTTGTTGTTATTTGTTATTCTTTCTTATTAACATCTGTTTCAAACGCAATTGAAATAATGTGTTGTTCATCTTTTTTTTTCTTAAATTTCAGATAGTCATTCTGTGACGTCCTTGGTCTACGCACGATTGAGACTCTCGGATTGAGCTAATCTCTGTGTGTGGATTACATCACCGATTCACGAGTTCTTCTCGGATATTTCTGTGTTCTCGTCTCGTGATTTCTGCTTACAGAGTGTGTTACTCCTGTCATATCCTTCGCTTTTCTAACGGTTTGCTCGGACGCTGAGAATTGATTATTCGCATAGCATCAAGGATAGAAATATTTCTCGAATTTCAGCTCGTCAGTAGGATTGTAATCGATTCGTAATCACCGCCTTGTTAAGATAATATCTACGCTACCTTATCATCAGCAGAGCGTCAGCGGATTTCTAGCTGGCCATCAGCGCATCGAATCTCTCGTGGAACCGAACATCGTCAACTAATCGACGTCTCCTTCTCGTCGTGTAATTTGTTCAGGGAAAAAAATTCCCACGTAATTTTCCTCTTCATCCCCCAGAAAGGGAATTCCTCTTCGTCGATCTTCGTGTGGTCGTTATTTTTTATTTCTCTCCCTTCAGTGAGATCTTAAGTCGTGTTCGCACACAGACCATTGAGTGTCTTCATCCAATCGAGCGACCGATTTGACCCTATGTGGAGCCCCAGATCCTACCCCGTGCTCATAGCCCGCGCAGCATGTATGTGAGCTACTATCCTTACGGACAACCTGCAGTTCTTTCTCATCAACCACCTCCTCCCGCCCCTGCTCCACCAGCCCCAGCTCAAGCCCCGCCCACTCTCATCCCCACTCCAGCACACCTGCCGGCCTCCCTCGCTCCTCAAGACTTACTCGTCTCAGTCACCGCCGCGGGTGTGCCAACTGTCACCGGCTCGCAAGTCGTCGCTAGCCTCGCCCAGCATCACCAGCAGCAGCAGCAGCTCCACCACCCTGCCACTGGCATCTCCAGCTACTCCAGTCTAGGACCCCTCGTCATCTGCCGCAAGGTAAGTCAACCTAAGCCACACACCCCTTTTTTGCGCAGGTCACCAAAGCTACATTGCTAAATTTGGTACTTCATCAAGTGTTCCAAAGAGACACAAACATCTGGCATGACCTCACATTTTAAAAAGTGGCACAGACACTTAATACATAACCACTTGATGTTTAAAAGACATAGAGACAGCGACAGTACTCACTTTTGAACAGTTTCTCCTTGATTGAACATTGCTGCACGGTGGTTTTTCTGTTTTGTGTAAATGACGACACCGTTAGTTTGCTAGTGCCCCAGTCATCTGCTCCAATGTTTTATATTGTTATTTACTTGCCCGTACCCCCCCCCCCCTTTCCCTGCATACGTTATAGCAAGTAAACCTCTGCTGCGAGTGATGGTTTCCTTATTTATCAGTACGAACAACTCCAAAAAGGCCAATGTAATTCAGAACCGAATGGTTTTCATGTCCTCCTGGTTAAAGAGATACCATAGCAAGATGAACGTTCTCACATTGTTTAACCCCCTACAAAAGGCTTCTTCTGTTCATGAATAGTTAAACAGCTTCTTAAACAGATCAATTTCACCCGATGGAAGATCCTACATCTTTCGACTGTTATTTTGTCTGTCTGTCTATCTGTTTGTCCGTCCTTCTGTCCGTCCGTCCGTCTGTCCGTCCGTCCGCCCGTATGTCTGTTCGTCTGTCC